GAGAGAGAGAGAGAGAGAGAGAGAGAGAGAGAGAGAGAGAGAGAGAGAGGGAGGGAGGGAGAGAGACAGAGAGAGAGAGAGAGACAGAGAGAGAGAGAGAGAGTATGGCTCCCGTTGTTGTAGTCTGGAAGTGGGTCTGCGGCCGCGACGTGATCATCGCGGAGCTCCAGACAAACGCAACGGGCGTCACGGGAGTGACATGGTTTTCTATAACGGTGTCACACGTCACGACACCCGTGTGTATGAAGTGCGCGTCAACGATGTCCATGCGATGGACATCACGGTTGGGTTGGGGCTTGTCGGCAATGGTGCTTTGAGCCACATCCTCCTGTTCGTGCATGAGGTGGTGCCAAACAGATGGGAAGGTCCCCATCGGGACGCGGTAGGGGACACCATCAAGTACCTTGTGTCCGCCATCGCCGAAGAGTTTGAGAACCTCATAGACGAAACGTCTTGGTACGACACCATCTTCGACCCCCCTTTGGAGGGCAGGGGGTACTTGCACGGGCTGGTGGACACGTGGATACCTGAGGATGACCTTCGTGTCCGTAAATGGTGATTGCCACGGACGTTAACCGCCGGTCATGTATGGCGATGTGAGTGCGGTGGCGACATTCGATCGCTGGTTAAACAGTCGTTGTTTCGCCATAGTGTTTGGGAGAGAAGGTTAAACAGTCGTTGTTTCGCCATAGTGTTTGGGAGAGAAGGTTAAACAGTCGCTGTTTCGGCATAGTGTTTGGGAGAGAAGGTTCGAGGCACAATGAGTGTGGAGTGCCGAAGCAGGTCAATCCTTCCTTTTAAGGAAGCAATCAATGCCTGTTTCGATTTTGTGGCCCTGCAAACGGGCAGACACTCGATTTCGTCTGCTAAGTCCCAAAGACCTATGATGGTAATAAATATGGTTAACCCGATTAACATAACAAAAGGCTCCCACGGGCCGACTTTTCTCGGGTTTCTTATCAGCTCCTCCAGGCTCTCCCACTTCGTGGCCTTCAAATATCGACGAACATACAATGGGAAAAGTAGGAATTGTTACAAACGATATTCCAGACTGCTTGGTGATAATGAATGCAAATCAGAATTTCATGGCCACAGTGGTGTTGTGACATGTCTGCAGCAGTGTTGTTGGCGACGATGATGATGATGACGAGTTATATGACGGCGGCGATGATGATGATGACGAGTTATATGACGGCGGCCATTAACATGATGATGATGACATGTCTGCAGCGGTGTTGTTGGCGGTGATTCTGTGTGGATTACATGTGTCTTTTTTTGGGGAACGTGTCATGTAAGTAGTGGGATCCATTGGTCGAGTCCATGGCGAAACGAACCGTCGGTGGTGATGTCGTCGGCGGTCGGGACGTGGGAGATGATAGTGTCGACGATGATGATGATGACGAGTTATATGACGGCGGCGATGATGATGATGATGACGATACTTCGTCATCACCATCATCATCGCTGTCGTCATCGAACTCGTCTTCATCATCTTTGTCGACACAATCATCATCGACGTCCCAACCACCGCCGACATCATCATCGGCGCTTCATTCTGGTATGGAGTCCATGGACAGCGTCCGTGCAGAGTGTGCATCGCAATCGAGACAATGACATGCAAGTTCTCGCGAATGTTCATTGTTGTGATCGAGGTTCTTTTAATGAATGCCGCACATGTGCCGCTTTTATGAATGCGGTCCTTTAAAATGGATTTGAATTTTGAATGTTGTCTCTCTTCTCATCTCCTTCTGGGTAAATGTTGTCCATTTCATTTCTTTTTCTCTTCTTGAGCGTTCCTTGTGTCACACAATTTGACTTGGGGGTCATGAAGGCGGGATTGAATTTATTTTATTTGTGCGTGGTTGGAGCCAGTTTTGTGCATGGGTGTACACACAAACACGTATTATATGTTTTCATTCTTGTACACGTCTATGTATTTGATTATAGATTTATATATATATATATATATATATATATATATCGTCAAATAGAACTGCCCGGTAAACCGTAGGCAGAGAGGGAGAAGAGGACAACAAACGAGGGGTTGTGACAAACTGTTTCGTCGGAGTTTCACCGACTCATATATATATAGAGAGAGAGAGAGAGAGAATGCACGTGAAAATGTTTTTGTCCATCACTGAATTTGACTGAAATTATGACAATCTCGCACACAACCCCGGAACCCCATGAACTACCAATCCGACCCGACCCCGGACCTGGTTCTGCTGCCACTCCATACCGCTTTTTAAAAATCCTACGTGGCATGTTATCCACGTCGTCAACTATCGCCACGGACATGGCGGCGGCGCACCATGAACTGCAACGTGGTGGTCCACATGCTCGATCAGACTCTTGCGAACCAACTCCCCTAGCGCGGACACGTTTGTAGGGTCATCGTCCACCACGGGCTCGACGTTGAGGTCGGGCATGTGACGAACGAAACGACGACGATCTCTCCGCCGACGACGCCGTCTGCGATGACCACCATCACCATCGCTGTCGCTGCTACTATCGAGCACACCAGGGTCAAATTCCACCCTGTGCTCGATCATCAGGTTGTGGAGGATGCAGATTGCCATCACTTCCTTGCAAATGGTTTTCATGTTGCTGATGTGCAGTCGGATGAAATTCCTCCACACGGCCTTCAGTCGGCCGAAGCAGCGCTCGATGCAAGACCGCACCGCCGAGTGACAGTTGTCGTAGGTTCGTTCCTGAGTTGTTGTAGCCGTCCTCCCGACAGGTGTCATGATCCATGGCAGGAGAGGGTAACCTTGATCACCAAGCACATACCGTCCCACGTGTCTGCCGTCGTGCAGGCGAGCACCTCCCTCGCTCAAGACACCTGCCCCTTGCGAGACCTGACGGAACAGTTCCGAAATGCGCAAAACTCTCGAGTCATGCACAGACCCTGGGCACCCCACGTAAACACTAGTGATTCTGCACTCGTGGTCACAAACTACCTGCGCCGCGACAGAGAACTGTCATGTGTGATGGTAGTAGCATTCCCCGAAATGGGTGCCATCAATTGCCCCGATGCAACCGGCGAACCCTTTCGCCTCGAAAGCGTTCTCCACTTCCTGCATTCGAGGGCCAGTCGTCCATCGAAGGAGATGGCCATACTCGCTGATGATAGCATCTGCGACCTCTTCGTTGCAACGCAAGGCACTCGCAAGCCCCATGCCCATGCCATGCGAGGTCTGCCGGTAACACCCGCCGGTCGCCCACCTAATGAGAGCCATAGCGAACTTCGTTGGGGCTCGCTGGATATGCGATGCAATTCTACCCAGCACCTCGAAGAATAGCGGGCGAGGCAGTCTGCAGAATCGGACAAACACCTTGTCGTGTTCACGCCCAACTCGCTGCAAATCCCTCCACACACCCCCGCTTCGTTCCACGACCCATATCCATCGTCGGCGCTCCATGCGTCTTCCCAACTCCTCCGCAGCCAAACTGGCGAGAGCGAATCCGTGCATCACCCCGCCTGCAAGGAGCGGCAACGACGTCACCGCATCCCCGAACAGGAACGGGGCAAATGCGATAGCCTCGAGGACGGCCATGGCTGCAGCATTGCGCCTGTGCACCCACTGGGTTATGGCGAAAACCAAGAAGAAGAGCATGTCTTCCCGCTCCTGTGAAGAAGTTGCAGATGGAACCGGACTGTCCATCTCCTCTATTGCCAGCAGTTTGCAAACCACCACACGCCTCCCACACAAGCACACCTCTTCCCCGCGGATATGGAGCGAATGGACGCAGTTCCCGAATGCCCTCTGAAGTGGTCACATCACCACGGCGCTCTCGGCTATGCAGGTGTCACTTCCAAATAACGGACCGCATTTCATCGAAAACGAATTTGAAAACGCCGCCGGGAGCCTCCTCAACGGCTACTTTCACACTCAGGACACCGTATACCAGCAGGGGACAGTGCCACACAGTTCCACGGCATGTCGGTCGCGGTGCGACCACGGCGTCCCGCATTTCTGCCGCTGGTTCAAGGAGCTGGACCGCTTGGTTCACCACACTTTCCATTTCGGGAGGCGACCTTCCCATATTTCCATTTCGGGAATGGAAGTCATTTTCCAAGAGGCCGGCAAGACTGTGGGGGTGGGGTCTCTACTTTTCTGGCAATGGTTTTCCAGACGGCGTTGGCCGTTTTTCGTGGCCGAACATGTTTTCCAACCGCCGAGCAGTGGGGTCCAAGCCTGAGAATGTATTCTCCCCTGTACATAGGAAAATACTAAAATAGTATTTTCCCCTGTACATGGGAAACTGGTAAAATACATCCCCATAGTTTTTTTTTGTTTTTTGTTTTTTTTTTAATGCCATGCTAATCTTCTCTGTATCGTTCCAATTTTAACGGATGTCCCGAAGGACATCCCCATAGTTTTTGTCTTTCGTGTATGTGGTGAGAAGTGCCAAAGGCCGTGGAGTGGACGTTTACGCACAAAGCATGTGTAGTGTGCACACAGAGAGAAAGAGAGATGGTTTTGGTTTCTCACATACCCCACACCATGCAAGGAACCAGAACCACCCCACTCTGTTGGCAAATATTTGAGAAATCCGTCAGCCAACGAAAGTTGAAATCTCTATTTTACGCGGCATTCAAACTACGTTTTCCTGGCCCTCCGATCATCTGCAGTCCACGGCCAGATGGAACATCACACCGTGCGGCATCGGGCCAACCAAAACTTTTCGGAGCGCTAGTGGGACTTAGCCCCGGGGACCTCACAATTCGACCCGGAGTCATACTGGCAGCATCAGCCAGTTTAGGGCATCGTTACACCCTCCTTGGAAAATCCTCAGGAATTAGGAGAAAGTCCTTCGATTAATTTATCATTTTCGGCGTCATCGTTACACCGTGTCCTTGGAGCGTCGGCTTAGAGATTCGTCCTTGGAGCTTTTGGGGGGGGGGAAAGAAAAAAGAAAAAGATAAACAGTTGTGCTTGAGGCTTTCAGCCAATAGGGTGTCACCACGCTCCCGGTTCGACCGTTGTAACGTCCCCACTACGTGTGTGTCCTCTCCTCTCCGTCAATCGCGGCTCCTTGAACCCAAGGGACCTCAGGAGGACCCTTTGAATCCAAGGACGCAATGGCTGGCGATTCTGAGGATCCCCAAGGAAATCTCTCGGGAGCGTTTTCACTTTGGGCCTCGTTAATCCAAGGAATTCGGTGGATTAGGATGCGGTGTAACCATGCCGAATTCCTAAAAATCGTCTTCCCAAGGAGGGTCTAACGAGGCCCTTAGCTTATGAGCAATGCTCGAACTTATGCTAGCTCCTGAAAACAACAAAGCCCTCCACGCCAAGAAATATCTAGGAACAGAATATGCCAATTCTAGGCAGCGATCCTGAAATCCCTGCCCCTGCAAAACAAGTGTCTCAAGGCCGTCGCCCTTTTTAGGACAGACCAATTACCAAGACCCTCGGATTTTGGAGGCATCCTATGGGCAGCAAGTCCTCGATCCCGGTGGTTATCTCACCACCACCAAGATAGTCACCATGCACAGGGGTGTTGCCCCCCCAAAAAAAAAGAAAAAAAAAAGAAAAAGACACTTGGATTATCCTTCGAAACACCACCAAGATAGTCGCCTTGCACAGGGGTGTTGCCCGAAGAAAAA